CTTGAGTCATAAAGCTGATAAATATAAATGTTCAATCTGCACTAGCATGCATTAGAGTTTCTGAGTTTGTAAACTCTGCTCTCCAAAGTAATATTTTTTATAGTAGGATGTCTAGCCCCAAGCACAAATAAGGGATTACAAGTTTTACAGTAAGGGCATTACAGAATTCTCAAACGCTGCATCTCCTTGATTTTTTAAGACATAAAAAGTACTTGTTGATTTTTTTTTGAGGAGGGAGAGATGAACTGTGCAGTGGGGGGAGGGTGGTAGCGAGTTTCTCCTCAATCTCAAATTAAATGTAAAAACCTGTTTCATTTTGAGATCGTCCTGCTTGTGGTTTTGGGGTTGAGTCCTGCAAGACCCGGAGAGAGAAGAGAAGACACCATCTGAAACGCCATTTTAGGAGCGGCAGAAAGATGTTGAAGACCGATATGGCTCTAACCTTTAAGAGTGTTGTACTGCAGTTTAAATGCATCTTGTGAAGTAAAAACACTTTTAAATCTCTTCATAGGAGTCAGCACACAGTACTGTATAGTACTGAGCTATAGAAGCCAACTGCTGTTATTAATAAGGAATAATTTTGTTACTGCAATTTATGAAGCTGGGGTTGGTGGTTAATACCTTTTATTTTCATGCATAAGTTTATAGGACAACAATCCTGTTTTCTAGTTTGTGTCACTGTCCTTACAAAAATTGTTCTTTTGCTGTGTCTGTTCAGATCTAGAACTATCAGTGAAGTTACATGACTCTGTAAGGCGTGATGGTTTTTATTCAGTGCTTTTCCCTTGTAAGCATGCTGGATTATTGAGTTATCAATGAAAGATGTAAATCAAAAGTACACAGTGACTCAGGACTGGTCTTTCATGAGGAAACCCTGAGTGCTGGATAAACAGTGTAAATGCTTTAATAATCTTGGGATTCCTAGATGAAGGCACTGTTAAGAGATTACAGCATTTTTCCAGAATGCGTTTTATTGACACTGAATCTCCTTAAAGAACGATTGAATCATTGTTGCCTGTTTTAAAATGTTCCATATAATTGCATTTTGTTTAACTGGAAATAATAAAGGATTTTTATTTTTTGGAATAATTTGGGTTTGTGACTAGGATATACTAATCCTTCCTTGAAGCAGAGAAAAATGGCATTTAAACGTTCGGCTTGATGCCAAATCATTTGATAAGGATGAATATGTGTTTTAACAGGAATGCCATGTTTAAACCCACAACACTGTATGGAACATTTATATTCTGAGTGTTTATGGCATCAGTTTTGTTGTATCAAAACATGCGAGTCACATTTAATCTGGTTAAAATGTTTCTCCTTCTGCTTTTTTTAGTATTACCTTCTATTAATAAAATAAACCATGCTTGTCCTAAGAAAAATGGTTGATTTGTAAGGAGTTCCATCATATTTCCATTTGTCTTAAAAAAAGTACACATACTGTATTGCATGTAGAAGCAGTGTGTTGGTCTTGATTGACAAGTGGTTAAATCTCCGTGGCTTTTCACGCACAAGTGCCAATATAGACAACACACACTGACAACTCAAGGTTGCCTAAAGAACATTGCAGTTAAATGATGTTCTTCTAATTGCTTTAATGGCACCTGCACGTTAATCCCAGGTAACTATTTAATGAAAGCCCGACAGCTACTTCAAAATTGCTTTGAAGGAAAATACTAAGGTGTCTGCATGCTCTTAAAAGAACAGAGCATTGTGCTTTACTAAATATGTCTGATTTCTTTTCTTCCGTTCTGGGGTGAGATTCTGCTAGACTGGTTTGAGTGGGCTGAATTGGAATGAATCGTAAGGTTGAGGCGGGGTTGTTGGATTTTGGGAATGTAGCAGAAGGGATGAATTTTACACAATTTAATAGTAAAATCAAGGTCATAACCAGTGATCCATAAGCACTGCTTTGACACAGTAACAGTCACGTGTTGCGCATGAAATCGACCTTCATCTCAAACATATGAAACTGGTAACTTGAAAGTTGTAAATTAGTTGATGGTTTTCCCTGGAATATTTCCTTAACTGTTTTTTTTTTCTTTCAAATTCTGTTAATTAGAAATATTCTGTAAATGAATGTCTTAATTACTCCAGTCATTTTTACATAATGTCCCTTTGCCCCTGATGTCTGAAAGGTCAAATTACCATTTAATATGCAATTTATAAAAGTCAACAGTTTAATCTTCAAACAGGCTGCCCCACCCCTTTACAGAAAATTGCTTTGGGTGAATGACATTTTCTGTGTTCTGTAGTTGGGTACTGAAGTTTTGTCTTTGATAAAAGATGTGTTAGACAAGATCTAGACAAGCCAGTATTATTCATGTACCCCTTCTTACATCAGATCAATGTCACATTGAGGAAACACAAGAACGGGCAGTGAGGAAAATGGTTTATGTAAGCTTATTAAAACACTTTTCAGTTCAGGATTGTAATGCTGGGCTGAGTTCATTTCTAGCTTTCTGTATACCTTCATTTCTAGCTTTCTGTATACGTATTACATTAAACAAAACTGATCGGGTTTAAGCTTATTTAGTCATTTGTTCATTGAAACACTACATGGAAGATGAAAACTGTATCGACGAGAACATGGCTATGTAGCATGTTACTCTTTCTCAACACTGAAGAAGTGAAGAAGTGCCTCCTGTTCTCAGTTTTAAATCCACTTGTACTCTATACTTATGGGACTGGCTTGTATTTCACTGTTGATTTTGCAGGCCAGTGGGTTGACTTTGTCAGTGCCTTTGAGGATTTTGAATGTTTTGAATATCAGGTCTACTTGTAGTTTTCTCTGTTTGAAACTAAAAAGTTTTAGACATCACTATTAGTCTGTCAGGTAGGACATCTTGTTAAGTCCAGGGATATGTCCAGAGCAGCAGTATATTTTTATAAATAAAACTGGTCACCTTAATCACCACCTATCACTTAATAATCATCTTAATCACTTTCAAGCTGTATCCCCCATCCCCTGCCAAACTGAAAATATTTTTGTCTGAAGCCGTTCACATTATTTACTCCAAATCAGGCAATAAATAAAACAGCTCCTCAGCAGGAAAAGATCATTAGTGCATAATCAATAATGCATATATACATTCAAATTTAAAATGACTACACCCAATAGCAGTCCAAGTCATTGAAAAGTTATTTCTAAAAGATAGTTAGAAATGGAAATTCCAGATGTTTGGAAGCATTGCCTGTGTGTAAGTTGGACCTTTTTGCAAGCTGTCTATCCATTCTAATAGACAGTGGCCTTTCTCTCCGGAGTTTGCCCTGGATAGTTTATCTTGGAGCTGGGCTTCAACTCGGTAGTAGTCTTAGTCTCAGTGCTTAGTTTGAATTCTGTGTGGTCAGTTGCAATGGCTGTAGTCTAAGCTGATAAGTATTGTTAGAGAGAACTCCCAGTTGTAAGCAAACAATTGTCTGTCTTGTCATCCAGTTGGTTGTGTTGCATGTCATACTGCTCACTTGGGACAATTTACATAAGTTAAGTGGTGTATTAACATTCAATCATAGGTACTGCAGGTAATGTTTCTCCTACCCTTTCTGAATAGTCATCTTTTAGAAATGTGCATATACTCATTAAGTATAAATTGCCTTTAAATCATAAATTGTAACAGCTTTTAAAGTCTCAAAAGCTTTTTTCTTTTTGTAGTTACTTTGTCTAGCCAATGGGGGGCGTTGTTAGTCTGTTGGAAATATTCACAAATGCTCAACTGATTTAGTCTCTTGATCGCAAAAGCTAATAGTAACCCTTTCTGAGGTGGTGAAGCCGCCGCCTGTGCAGAACCAAGTGGAATCAGGATTTATTAGTCAGGATTATTTATTTTGATGTAATCACCATTGTCTAATTTGGTGGTTTTGTGTCCTGCAGCAATAAGGTAATCATTGTTTCTAAAATGTTTGTGCCCCATGGAACACAAATCTTTGCTCCTTGGAAAAAAAGCGTAGAGTTTTTGTCAGCTTTGGTTAACTGGACTTCAAAAGCTTAACCGAGAGTTTTGTGTTCATTAAAGTAGTCTTTGATATTATTTGAAAGTAAGATGAAATTAACATCAGTGCACCACAATGAGGATATTATTGAGGTGCTGACTGTTATAAGGAATTTGGCTTTATGTATGCCCCTGTCTACATTTTCTTCTTTGATAGTGTCCTCATATAAAACCATTTTGTCTTAAGTGTTAAAAAAAGAAACCTATCAATGTGAGAGACGAAGGAAAATGCAAAATATTTGTTTGTCTTAAATGTAAGAATATGTATTTTAATAGGAGAAATTTGTTTCTCTTCTGTTGAATTATGTTAATGGAATTACAAAGTTGGAGTGAAACTACATAAGCATGCAAATCAGATGTAAGACATCCTTGGTTTCCAGTTTAGAAAATCTCCCCTGATTAATGAAAAACAAATTAAAAACAGTCTTGTCCTCAGGTGTGGATTTGTTTTTATAGACCTTCTCTACATCCTAACAAGTCTTCTTCACAGTTCTGACAAACCTGAAGGACTTACCTTAAAACGTCCAAAGAATTTCTGCAAAGACATTCATAGATGTGTTTTAAGGGCTAGCACAAAAATAGATTTGTGTTTGTGCGGTTGTAATTATGCAGCAATTAAAACTGTAAAAAAAAATAAGGTTTGACTGACGTACCCGTTTCCAGAGACAGTCGGATAGGAAAAGGCCTAGAGCCTTGTGAAGATTTGACATGATGCTTCCACCTGTGCAAATCTCAGCCTGCTCTCAGAACCAGGGAGGAATCCTGCACTGCCAGCTTCCTTCACAGGGAACCGCCAGGGGCAGAGATTGAAGATAATAACTAGTGATTGTTGTCTTTTAGCTGGGCCACCGTCACCAGAAATTGACAGTTTTTGAAGATCTAAATACACATCAAAAGGCGCGCATCATCTGGTTTAGGTCAATTAATGTTAATTTTGCTCCTGTGTTATTCCTTTTAAGTTTTTTTTTCCCTCCTCTCATTCTCTTCATTTTTTTTTTTCATCCCTTCCAGCCAAGCCCAGTCCCAAGCCCTGTTCTGGGGAAGAAGCCAAATGCCAGTCAGTCACTGCTTGCCTGGTGCAGAGAGGTTACAAAAAACTATCGAGGGGTGAAAATCACCAACTTCACCACGTCCTGGAGGAATGGTTTGGCCTTTTGTGCATTACTGCACCACTTCAGGCCTGATTACATGTAAGTGAGAGAAAACATTGCACATTGTTCCTGCCAGGCTTAGGAAAGGAGTTGCAGTGGAACAGATTGAATAATATTGTGTGTGCATTTTTGTACAAGTAAAATGTGCATGCGTGCAATACCTAGCAATTTATATAGGATATAGTGTATATACACTTGATTTTTTTTATTTTGGTCTTATCCTCAAGTGACTTGTATGAACAAGTTTTCTATAGTTCATGAGGAAAGAAGAAAGAAAAAAAAATCTGTATGGGGTCCCCCTAATAAACTGCTCCATCTCTGCTTTGGTTAATCCATTTGCATTGAGATGGACATCATGATACAGTTTGCATTTTGTTCCGAGCACATGAAAAAGTGAAAGATCAACATATCAAATGAATGGACTTGTTCGGTTTTTGTTTTCCCGTGTCTGTTTTACACTGGCGTTATTTGAAGAAAATGGGATTCGTATTAAACTGATTTGTTTTTTTATTCTTTTTTTTTCTTTTTACTAATCTCATCCAAATAGCTGTCTACAGGAAGATTACAAAAATTGTGTCAGTGTTGAAATAAGATGAGACAAATAAGCCTGTAGGTCTTTGTACACTGACAACAAGGGATTACTGCATGGTAAATTTGGTTTTAAAGGCTGGCCTCTGGTCGGTGCCTGTTAACTTCACTTTTTAGATGGAAAACCTTCAGGCAAAAAAAAAACTCATGTGATCACTGGTTATTTTTTATTTTCCACTCTATTAGTTTTGTTGATTGCATAGCTGTGAAATTTCTTGTTACAGTATAATGCCATTATAGATCACGTTTTTAAATGCAATTTTTATATTGCCTCTTTTATCGAATACTGTAGATGCCTACTGTTGTGTTTTCTCCCTCAGTGACTACAAGTCCCTCAATCCTCAGGATATTAAAGAAAACAACAAAAAGGTAAAGGACCGCCGACTGATACAAATTTAGCCTTATTGTAAGTTTTTTTTTTTGTTTTCTATTAATCCCCTTAAAAAGGTAAGTTTGTTTTTTTCAGGTTTATAATTGCTCTTCTCTGAAGGTAGCTCCCCTGCCGCTCAGATGGAAAGTGTTATAAAATTTAGTTTTGTTTTGCACTCTACCTCACAACAAATACGAAAATCACCTGGGAATGCTAAGATAGCATCATAATTTAATGCCTGCTGTGAGTACACTAAACAGCCTCAGTCTCTTGCTGTATACAGTGCATTTTTATGAGGTAACTGCGAACGTTTTTTTTTACATGAAAAGCTTGTTATTTGAGGTTCATGTCGCTAGTCCAGGATTTCTGTAATCCATTTTAGAGCTAACATTTGCGTTTAAAGCATTTCAGCTGGAGAAAAGAGCCGCTATCCTTTATAAGACATTTTTTTAGTTCCCCCCATTGAGGAATTTTCTGCAAAATGTGCAAGACGAATAGGTTTTCGAAAGGGTATCTAACTGTGTTAAGGGTGCATATCACTTACAGCCCCAAAGCCTGTGACTTTACATTTTCTGCGAGTGTATAAACACAGACTGGGTGTGCATCCTAGCAATGTGTGAATTATATTTATAAAGTGACGTGTTTTATTTCTTCTAATTTACGAACACAGGCAGATCTCAATCCGTGCGTAAATATGACAGAAGCAAAAATGTTTTTTTTATGTATTAAATATAATTCCCCCCGCTTGTCAGGCTAAACTGCATTGCAGGAGTGTAACTTAACCCAATAAAAGGTATTAGTAGCCTAATGTAAAACCTCCCCCCCTCCCCCGTTTTATTTTGTGTCTAATCTGAAGTGTATCATTTATAACCTCTTTTTTTCCTGAGAACAGCCCATATTGTTTATTGTGTGGCTTGCTTCTTTCATCACTCGTTCGGTTCCCTCGCTTGACAGCTACATTGAATATCTCAGTTGCTTCCTGCAGGTTTATTTCCTGTGCTCACACAATTCTGACTGATAACCCCTCGTGCCCTTGTTTGGGATGAATGCCACATGATGAACAATGGCTATGTATAATGTCCATGCAGATGCATAGAACATTTGACATTTCCTCCTCCTAACCAATTAAGCCACCATCTATGAATGAATAACAGAGTGCTCCCTATAGCTGGTAAACTGAGAGGCTGGTTAAAGCAGAGTCACAGGTGACCAGTGCAGGAGCAGGAAAGGTTAAGTTTGCTGAAATCCTGTATTTGTCCCAAAAAAACATTCACGTTAGATGGAATCATTGTTTTTTTGGGGGGAATGATTTTCATAATCCCAGACCCGATTGAAATATACTCTGATAGAATAAAGCAATCAATACAGGAGAGAATATCTTTAGTTTCACAGGCTTAGCTTGTGAGATTCTATAACCACCGAATTAAAGAGGGGGGAGTAATTTCCTGTGATATCTGATCTTGGTTAGTGTGCTGCCGTATTGAATAATTGAGAAATGTTTAGAATATGGCCTTGGGGGGCTGCTGTTGATAGACAGTGGTTGACGTTTGTCAATCAACCTGAAGGGCCACTTTTGAAAGGAGGCTTTACTGCGTCCAAAACAATGTGCTGTTCAGGAGGTTTACAGAAAATCCGGCTCTGCTTAATTTCTCAGCAGAAAGCAAGATTTTACAGAGAACGAGCAAAACTCAGAAGTAAGCAACTGGCAGAAAAGTTTTTTTTTTTCCTAGTCCTTGATATCCTGCGCAATAGAACGGAATTCTGGTCTGGAAGGTATTTGGAATATGAAGTATGTCACTTTGGGTAACTGGAGCCAAGCATTTTGTTCCCAAATGCCGCGCCTGTTTTCTTTTCTTTTTTTTTTTACTTTCCATTCAGACGCAAGCTTGTCGTTCACTCCCAGCAAATGCTTTTATCCGGGAGGGAACAATAAAAAAACACTTTGCTGTGGTGAATAAGTGTTGGAAACCCTATCAGGGTTCTCTTTTTCTCCCTTCTGCAGGAGGGTGAAAGCGAAAACCCTACGCGCCGCGGAGCAACGGCAGACTTGTTTGTCGCCGGCCCTTTCTCTGCGTTGAGTCCAGCGCGGAGGCGGTTCTCTCACAATAGCCGTTGTCGTTGAAAAAGGCAAAAAAAAACAAACACGGCAGCAATTAACTGTAAATTGAGAAATGGCTCCCCTTGATTATTCCAAAACTTGATAAACCTGCAGATCCAAAAATGTCAGGACCCATAGACAATGAAAACGATGTTCGTCAGCAGATGGAATCAAAAAACGCCATCAGTGGCTCTGAGATACAAGTAGTGATACCAGGAGGGGCTCTTTCAGAGTGGGGGGGGGGTGAAATAAACTTGCTTCGTGTCTTGTTTTAATGGCTATTTTTTTCTTTTTTTAATCGCCTATCAGGTGATCGCAGGATTGAGTTTTGCTTCTTGATTATCTGCCTGTATTTTTCATCAGCACAAATCACTGCAATTACATGGGCAGTAGAAAGGAGAAGGTTGATCAGCTGTGATAAGGCCCAGGACGGATTAGTTTAGTGTTTCTTTATATCTCACTTTCTTATCTCAGAACCCATCCTTGACATTCTCTGTCACTGCCGACTCGTCCCACTGATTCCTGATTGTCCTATTCCAAATCTAGTCAGACAGATGGCTACCCTAACATATCCCAGCTACCTGTTTGTACCTGCCTAGTGAGGTTAGCTGGCTCTAAATATTCTGTTGCATTGCCAAGTCTCAAAGGCTACATGCACCGAAGGGTGATCCAATCTTTATCTTCAGCAGGGTTTACGTTTGAGAAGGACTGCTTAGTTAAGCTGTCAGAGAACATGTAAAGGCCTGAAATTGGTTTAGCAATTGTCTCACACTTGACCTTGAAGAGAACATTTAACCTTCTGCTTCAATTTTATGAATTCTGTAAAAAATTAGTGAGATGTGATGTCTCTCACTGCTGCAGTTGGGATTTATTTTCTTTGGTGAGAAAAAATATGAAGGAATTGTTGTGCATTAGTGAAGGCTAAAGCCTCTGTGCCTGCCTCTTTGTCTTTTAAAATAAGTGTGTTATTCACTGTTTTCAAGGCTTATGATGGCTTTGCCAGCCTGGGAATCTCTCGGTTACTGGAGCCCTCAGACATGGTGCTGCTTGCGATTCCTGACAAGCTCACTGTCATGACCTACCTGTATCAGATAAGGGCTCATTTCAGTGGGGAAGAACTGAACGTGGTGCAGATTGAAGCCAATAGCAGTAGGAGCACCTACAAAGTTGGGGACTTTGAAACGGACACCAACAGCTCCATTGATCAGGACAAGTTTTATGCTGAGCTGAACGAGGTGAATCGGGAACCAGATTTCCAGACCGAAAATGGTGTCGAGGCCAGCGCCCCAACTCGGGAAGAGCCTGTGCTCATCAGCAGCGCCGCTGTTGGAGAACAAAAGAGTGACGGCCCATCACCAGCTCTTAGTCCAAGTCCCAGCAAGGAATCTCCCACCTTCCCCTCGATACGGAACCAAACTAGTAATTTACAGCCGAGTTCCACTGGTGGTTTTGCAGCGGAGGAGCTTCGGGAAAATGAGAGCAGAGTTGTGGCACAAGCGCAGCCATCCCTTAGGGAGCAGAGACTGCTTAAAACAGCCGCCTCAGAATTGAGTGACTTACAGCATGTCAGCGAACAAAAGCAGGAGGCATCTCCCATACTTCCATGTGATGTTCCTGGCAAGGAGAAAAGGGAGATTTCTGGGGCCACTGGTGGCTCTGTGGAGAAGGACAAGGGTGGGGTTTTGGAGAGCAGAAGTCCTGAACTGGGTTCCCCCATCCGGAAGGCTGGAACCTGTCCTCCGCAAAAACTTGGCTTCTCTTACAACCGCGACGCCGACCTCATCAAGAAAAAGCGGGCCAGCCTGAGGCACTCTGACTCTGAAGCCACCTCGGACATCACTTCCACTCTCAACCACACAGACACACAGGTCACAAAACCCTCACAGGTAACTTCTGTTCTGTTTGTCCGGTGCGTCCACACATTCCAGACACACATTATGGATACTCTTATCACAGCGGAAAATCAGTCTTGAAATATCTGTGCAAAGATAAGACTTTAAAGACTGGCTTGCTACACTGTTTCTTCCATGTTACTTTTCTTAATTTTCCACAGATTTGTAAATTAAAACAAGGTGTCCCTGGAGAAATGTCACCTTGCACGTTTCATTGGTAGCCTTAAATAGTCAATTAGCATGCGAAGTTCACTTAATTAAATCATTGATCCAAATGAATCATTCAAAATTCCACTCCTTAAAAAAACAGATACAGTGGTTCTCTATGATCAAGGTAGGACATCCTTGAATAAAAACATGAATGTGGAGTCTTCAGGCAGGAGACATTGTGACAGGAAAATATCGTGATTGAACTTTGTAGCACTTCTGCATCGAAGCTTATGACTTACATTCGTGTTACTCAATTAATGGTTTGTTTAAATTCTATCAATGAGGATGAAGTAACAACAGGTTGTCGTATTTCGAGGGAACGCAGCTCTTCGACAATTTTATGTTCATTGAGCCCGATAATGAGAAAACCTTATGTGATATTGGCAAAACCATGTTTCATGCTGAATTGCAAAATAAATAAGTAGATAAATAAAAGCCCTTCATGGGTTTTTAATTTTTTTTTTAAATGCATTAGTCTTGGAAACAATTCCCTGTAAGTGATTTTTCTTTCCAGGTTCCTTCCACCCAGCAGTCAGGTGGCACTGATGAAAAGGTGAGAATGTGCTTGTCCAAGTCAAGACCAGTATTGTATGACCATCTGGCTTTGAGGACTGTTACCCCATGACCCAAAGGGCAGTGCAGGTTTTAAAGTTCTATGTTGGAAATGCTTCTTGGTCTGTGTCTGGAGTTTTGGCTTCACCTCTGTCAAGACAGTGCTTTCAAAACTTGAGTTAAAGGGGGACTGCAGTCCATTTCTCAGACCAGTTATTAAATCCCAGTAATAAAATAAATTTGTTGACTGCATAGAATAAAATTGCAAATTTCGAATTAAGCACAGAATTGTGAACTTTGTGGAAAGTACTGTAAGTCACTATTTTGTGGCAAACCCCTGGTCTTGCCACAGGCGAGCGCAAGAGTTCCGACAAATTGAGATGTGAAGCGGCCCTTCCTGCTCACTAGTCACTGTAATAACTAATGTAATGTGAGCCACAAGCGAATTAACTACGGGTTGTGCAACTGACATTTCACAGCAGACATTTTCCAATGCATTCTTCATACAGACTTAACAAGTAATTTCCATTTATCCGCAAAACTGTCTTGATGTCGAGAGCAATATTTCTGCTGGATTAAAGAGATGTATTCACAAGCCTGCATGTTTACAATGTAACAGGGCCGCTTCACCTCACCGGATGTTTTGTTGTCTTGTTCTGAACCGCAGAATATGGCGCTGAAACTACCTGGAAATTATTTTGTCATGTGAATTGTGGGTTTTACAAGTGTGTACATGTTACTCTTATTGTGGTTTGAAACGCACTCATCGGTGCCGATTCTTCCTCGCTCCGAATTCTGGAAATAGCTTTGCAGTTCCCCTTTTAGCCATGTGCTGTGTGTCCTTGACGACCTTTGCGTTGTATACACCCCGGCAGAGAACACAGTCCCGACAGGAGGAGCTGAAGGAGAGAGCCCGGCTCCTGCTGGAGCAGGCCCGGCGGGACGCTGCCATGAAAGCTGGGAGCAAGCAGGCCCCAAGCAGCTCCGTCACTCCGCCCCGCGGCACGCAGCTCTCGGAGGTAGGCCTATGCGTGCCGTGGGCAATGTTGGGCTTTTCCAACTACATGACAGCTAAGCGAGGGATATAGTATTTCTCCATTAAGATTGTGTCTGGAAAGGGTGCCTTCTCCCTTTCTAAATTATTTTATATTTGCATAATTAGCAACCAAGTAACTATGAAGCGAACTGTTGGAGAAAAACGTCTTATCTTTCCAGACATTTAACAACGGGAAACTTACAACTTACCAGTGACAGAAACATTTTGGTTAGATTTGGAGTCTGAATTGTTTGCAAGGTTGTGTAAAGTTGGTGAGTGTGTTACTCTAATACTAAACTAAAAATGTACTTGTTAAAGCCTGCACCTTGTGGGGCGCCAAGTTGTTGTGTCTGCAGTGGATGCACACATCTTGTCTGTGGTTTAGCTGGGGGAAGTGGAGAAATTTTGTGGTTCTAGAATGACATTTTCTCTGCCTGGCTAAAGGATGAGCTGGTACATCAGTTTCTTTTAGGCTGCAATCATGCAACGAACATGTTGGATATTAGGATGCTGCCAATATTGCCATTGCAATATTTTGGCATTGCAAAACCTTTCAACTGAGGAAACCACAAATAGTGAGTTTGCAGGCATTAACAATTAATTTGTGTCACAAAAAAAACTTCCAACGTGGGATGTCTGAAATGGGTTAATTATTTATGAAAAGGATGGTTTGAATTGTGTCCTGCCTAACTTTTCTGAGTGAAGAAAGGGTTAGCTACGCGAGGGTCCTGTCATTCTCTTTTCCTTATATATTTATCATCAGATAAAGCACTCGGGCCTCCTCTGCGAATGTCATTATGCATGTCTGTCACCTAAGCAGTGATTCATGTCCATCCTGCTTGAGTGGCTACAGAGTTTGAACAATTAAAGAACTCCATCCAGCTCTTGAAAATATTCATTTTTTTCTTCTGCTTTCACGTTGCACTCTGGATTTTAGTTAATCATATTTAAAAAAAAAGTGTCAGCAATAATTAGACCAAGATCCCTAGCTCTGGTATTTTCGTGTTGTTTTAATAGGAAATGATTTTCTTTTAAACTCAGTGAATTGTGAAATTATACTTTTCTGTTTATCAGTGCTCTTTGCCCAGTAATGCTATTGTTCTTTCATCTGCTTGATTGTTACAAAAGTTTCTTACATCGCAATACGCAGTGCTGCACTCAAAACAGCTTATCCTATTGCTGTGTATGGCGAAACAGCTGATATTTCTGTAAAAAAAATAAGATTTGGGAAACGAAATGTGCTGTAACCTAATGAAAAATGCATACAATATTTCTAAATCCTCCCACGCCATTTTAAGTATGGAGAAAGGATGGCTGACTTTGACTTTTATATTCATCTTAAACACGGATACCTCAGTGACATGGTTACTCTGATAGTGGGGGGTGCTTTTGCTCTTTTTGAAAGCAAATGAAAATGTCCTGACCATTAGGAAACATGCTGGGTGTCTCTTATGAAAGATAAATTAAATAACTACCAGTAAGTGGAGATTGCACTCGTGCATAATCTGCAAGTCACACTTAATATGAACCGTGGCGCACTTGCCTGTAATTATAGAAGCATTATTCTAACATTTGTTCACATTTTCACTCCTCTATTATTTATGGATCAGATCACTGTAATGAAATAAAACAGCAGAACAAAGATGAAGTAATTAACACAAGTTCAAGCTACATTTAAGCATGATTTGAAGACAGATTCTCTTGACCTAATAGAGAAAAGTGCAGAGTTAGGGAGGGCTAAATAGTGAGAAAATCTGACGTGATTGTTGCTTTAGGAGGGCATCACACTTTTCCAAGCTGCTGTTCGAGATTGCTCCTGGCTCTCTCACAAGACCTCCTTAAATGGACACTGAGACTGTTGGCCTTTACAAGTTCACCATTTTCCTCTTACTTTTTAGTCCTCAAGCTTTTGAAGTAGGTAAACACAGGTGTTTTGCTAACCAGTGTTTCGCTAGACAGTGTTTCTTTTACAGTGACATCTGCAATGACAGTCTGAAGGTTATTCTAACTTGGGGTTCATGACTTGCTGTGAAGGAGTGATTACAGTGACCTGTGAAATGGCTTCTTTTAAATTACAATGAATAGTTAAAGCTGGCCTGTTAGAAGATTCTGAAGGCAGTTTTAATAACGTGTTTCTCATTTACACAGACGTTTTAGGATTTGCTTCTTACCTGATCATTTCAAAAGAGTGGTGAATATAAAGGCAGAAATGTCTGGTTGTACCTCACAATTTCTTATGAAGAAATTACTTTGAATCTTTTATTAACTTTATTCGTGTACTCGCCCTGTGTTTGGGTGAAAACTGGGGTGTTGAGCCTCTTCCCAGGCTCAACAGTCATTAACAATTATTGCAACTAATGCATCTGAATTTCTGGACCTTCAAATTGTCTCTTTGTGTAGACATAAAGTTTGAGATTCTTTTTCTTTGAGTTAATTTAATGTCTCATGTTAGTCAAAATTAAACTTTCTTAGTTCCACATAACCAAAAAGATGCTTTTTTTAAAAGTCTCAAAAAATGTTTCATGACAGACATTAAAGTTGTGAAAATGGATTTAAAAATTAAATGTAGTTTTGGTAATGAAATATCTAAAAAGCACCAGCTTTCCAATTCTGTTTGTTTGCTGCCTGCATTTTAAAAGAAGTAGAGATGCCCTTGAATTAATTCGTTTGAATGTAAGCCTCGGAAAAACTATTTCAGCATAATCTAAAAATAAATGACAACCTCCAAGACCACTACCCAGTTAAAGCCATCAGAAAAAAATAAGCATACTGTGAAATTTTCAAAGCTGTCTATGACTGTTAACTTCTAGGTCTGCTTCAAAATCTCCGTTTTGTCAGGGAAAGCAGCGTTTATCCCTGTTTAGAAGGTCTTTCTTCTGAAATGTGCTACTTTGCGGCATAGCGAACAAACAGCCCCGTTTCCCAAGGACAATGCTCTAATGAGGTGCATTAGTGCATTAGTGGATTCAGTTATTGAATTGTTTTAGTTTTTAATAGAAAACATTGATCAAAAGAATCCCTGTCTCTCTGTCTGATAATTGTTAGCGATTTAGATTAGATTACTTGATGTCTGTTTTGATTGCTGAGAAAATTGCTGCCAACGTGTTATCGCCGGGGTGGCATATGTATCTTGCGCTAAGTAGCGACTTTGTAGTTTAGCATGCATAAGGAATATTTTAATTCAATTAAATCTGACATCATTCTTCCAGGGCGATCATTTAATGTGGGAGTGTAAAATGGCATTGTTGGAAACAGTCAGGGATGGGTTTAGCTACGCATTTCTGTTGTTTGTGGGCTTCAATTTTGCTTTTAAGCATCGAACAAAGAAAAAAAAATTCAAATGGGCCAGTAACTTTTCTTGGGACATTAGAATGTGGTAGCAGTGACCTGTCACCTAAGCATGGTTTTTCATGCTTGGCATGTTCCAGGGGTTTTACAAAGTCTCCCTGGCTAAATCCTTGCCTCAAGATCAGATGCATGCTCTTTCTCTCTGTCTGGCCATTGTGTTATGACTCTTCTGATGTGCAGCAGGGTCACATGCACCACACTAATTGTGCTTCATTGTGTTGTGCAATCCCTGCTTGTGGCACTGGTGAGTTTGTCATGCCCTTTTTTTTGTCTTCCTGTGAATGTTCAGTATTTTGAATGCCTTTGATACTGGTGAAACAGTAATAATTGTTTTGTACTTTCCTCGGTCAGTCTTCCTAGGTGGGCTTCATAATCCATTAGAACTTTTATCCAGATTCCTGTAATGTCATGCCTCCAGCAGCGAGCAAATTGGTAATTAATGAGCAATCGTAAACCGCAACCCGTTAATTTTCCTTTTTGAGTTTCTGAAAGTGTCATCTCTGCTCGAAAGGCCTTGTGCCATGATGCTCTGGCCCCTTGGATTGAAACCTCAGCAGCCCGATTTCCTCAACCATTAGCAGATCAGAGCAGCAATTTCACAGTGCTCTGGCCAGGGTAATTATAGTACCAAGTACTGGATGGAGTCGGGAATTCATGCACAAATGCAGAAATTCCAGGTGAGCTTCCTCGTGTTCAGTGGGACGTTATGATTAGTTTAATTGGGCTTTGTTTGATTTTGGCCGCTGTGGCCGTTTGCGCTGTGGCAGCACAGTGACTTTCCAGTTTGGTGTCTGTGACCTGCGCCGACAGAGGGAGGTTTTTAACCTCTGAACCCGCTGGTTTGAAAAAAAAAAAGATATATTATTAATATGATTGTCGTCGTCGTTCTAATTAATTCATCAACACTGCTAGTTGTTTTTATCCAATTAATGTTTTTATAGCAGGATTAATCTGACAATTATTGAGTGACTTGGCACTTTAAGGATCTGCCAAGAGCCATGTGTTTTTGAAATAAATTCATTGTTCTTATTATTCAGTGTTTTTTTTTTCTTTTTTTTTATGTCTCGGGAGGTTTTAATCCTAAATGGACGAGGGGTGGGGGTGGAAAGATGTAGTGTCAATTGCTTTAACATGCATTCTTAAAATTCAGACTTAAACAGCCCAATTAGGACACAAGACCTCCCAGCTAACTTACTGGTTCTGCTGGACACCAATAAAGAGGCCAGTTTCCCCATTATCTTACTTTCTCTTCAAAGGCACTGAAGGTCGTTTTTTTTTCTTTTTTTCTTACTCTTATTTTTTTAAGTACCGCATTTCAAAATGCTAATATCACATGTTCTCCTTCCACTCTCCAGTAATAGTTTTTAGCATTTTAGTGTGTGCCTTTAAAGGGAGCCTTAATGAAACCGAATAGTTTGCTGGGAGTTTGGGCCTGAGCATCAGGGTGTTTCATGCAGGCTTGTCAGTTGATGTTCATGAATTGGCTTGAACTGAGATCAAAGCATTTCTCAAAATTGAGAATCTGTAAGAGAGACAGCTCCTTCAATTGCACCACAAGAGCTAATCAAGCCATCAGTTCTTTACACACAGTGCGTGTCTTCATGCTTCCTTCCAACTTTATAGTGAGCGGTTTGT